ACAGCTCGCCTGAAGTACAACCCGTCTTTTAAGGTGAGAGTAGACAATGGCCAACCTATTGGGCAAGAACACACCATAGAGTTACATTGATGTACAGTGAAGTGGCTCAAATGTTTCCGAGAACTCTTGTTTGTTTTCAAGTCTGTTAAGGTACAAAAATTTAGTCTGCTCGTTACTATACCATTTCTTTGTTGTTGAAAATGGAAATTAGGACAACTTCCTAATTAAACTATCACTTTTTATCTCTCAGAACGAGCGCGCACTTCGGGACACCGTAACATCCTATGGCGTTGTCAGTGTCTGCAGAGAAATAGATGGAAAATCAGGTATGCGCTGCATTTCTTAGTCGAGATATTTTTTTAAAGGTTTTATGCTTTGAATCCATTCCCCACTTTATCTAAAATCAACTAAGCATTTGCCTCCAGAACTACGCAAACAAATAACCACACGCAAACGCATAAGCCTATAGGATATATGCGTCTCATTAATGTTACATTATTTTGTACCCTCAGGATTCGTGTCTGTTGACTCTACCGTATTGGTTCCCGGAGACGTCATTGAAATTCCCCGCGAAGGAACCCTTATGTATTGCGATGCCGTGCTACTCAGGGGAAACTGTATAGTAAACGAAAGCACTCTCACTGGTACGCAACAGTTTGTTTTCCGGATTTATGCTTGCCGTAACTAGTGTAATGCAAGTGATCTGTTGTATTTGATTTTTTTGCTTTTTGATTTGACCAAGGTGAATTGCAAATATTCAAACTAGAAGGAATGTGTGGTGGATTTTACCATCCTCTTGTATTACCTTTCGCGTAGTTGTACCTCATACTCGCAGCAGTTTGTGTATGCAGTACAAAATACATGCTTGAATTTGCATCTAAATGCCGTAGTGCCTAGTGAACTATACAGCTCTTTTATCCGACCTGCTGAACTACGGATAACATGGCAACTCCTTACTATTAGCGATTTCTTTCGAATATGCCCTTATAAAAGTCACATGAAGTTGTTTCACTGATCTATTGTAAATGTCGAGTTCAAGTGGGCAAGTAAGACAGAAATAAACACTCCAGTCTCCCTATTTTTTGTTCTTAATGCTTTCAGGAAAGTTAGACGGATACATCCAGTTCTTGCAGTCAACAAGAACTAGCACTGACCCTTAGGTGGTACGGTGGTGCCTTGTGTGTGCATTTCTTAATATTGAAGCACACTTGCATAACATCTGTGTCACAATCTTTCCAATGACGTTCCATTGACAGGACAGAGCCAAGACAACTGGAAATGCTGAGATCCCAATGATCGATAGGATTGAACCCACATCTATGCATGATCGCCCGAAACTACAGACCGTCAGGTTTTTACTGAGATTAGCTTGCATCTTACTTGAACTAGAGTGCCATAATGACCTCATTAAGGGGATAATTTCATGCGAATCGTTTAATCACTTTCCCTATCTAAACTTCGACTACTGGCGTATTGACATAGTTCGTAGTGCGCTTACTGAATTCCAGTTGGGAATTTACCCCGATTTCTTTGGAGAAATGCACTTTAGTGCAAGTCTCCTTTCGCTCGCTCGTGCATCAGTGGTCTGTTTGGACTTACCGGTCAATTGGTGACAATACTGGGTACGGCGGTCAACGTGGCGTGAGCTTCATCTAGCCTGTTACATGACAGTCACACATGGTGCGTGGTCGTCATGCTCATCGCTGACATACATCATTTTACGTGCTCGCCATGCCATTTGCCGATACGAGGAGGAAAGTGAGTTTCAGAAACCGACTGATAAGAAGGAGACTCGATCTCTGTTGTCCGAGCGATTGGTGCTTCTGTTGTGTAAGGACTAATAAGCTTACACTATTCAGGGCTGGCGGACACAGTATAATCAAT